CAGCAGGAGAGAATACAGGCCTTGCCTGTGGGTGTCCATCATCTGTGACACAAGTATATTAAAAAAACTCTGATTCCAGGACACCCTCTTTCTCTCACTATGGACAGGAGGCCACACAATAAGAGTCTCACATCCTCAAAATTCTATAGTCTTAAGAACAATGTAACTCCAAATAATTAAAAAGTCACAGATTTTAAGGCAATCTTCCTACTCATTGTAGAAAACTGGGTCTTGTACAAAATGCTATGCACAAGATTGTATAGTTTAATCTGAATGCCTCATCGCCATCTCAATTTTGTTAACAAGAAAGTTCCTAGAGAGCAGGCACCTGTTGAAATGCCATCTATACTCTTTTATGGCCTTCATCTTGGGTGGGTCCCTCATCACGTCTCTCCCCTTAGCCACCTGAACGCAAAATACATGATTTTCATAATCAAAATTTCCCTTCTGAGTCAACACCCAGAGAATTGGTAATAGCAGCTGAATCACCCTATTTATTGAAAATAAAGGTTGCTTGGTGAAATTACCTGAGGCAGCAATAGCAATGTCTCCTATAGATAGGAGAACGGTTGACACTGAAACGCTTGCTTGAAAATCCCAACTTCACTTTAATTCCGATTAAATATGGTTTTGTGAATTAGCACATCTCACTGTATTCATGTATCTCTAAAACAATTATTCTTTAACCTGCATAAATAAGACTCTGATAATTTGTCGTGATTGAATTAGAATCAAAGCATCTTGATTTTGGATATACTCAAGTACTTAATGTTTGAGATAAAAATGGTTCGGTGTTGGATAGTATGCTTTGTACATCCATTTCACATTCTACCCTTTTCCTTCCTGCTATGTGCCCAGGAGGCTCACCTCTATGCATAGTATCACCTATGCTTCTTCCTTCTTCCTGCTTCCTGATAGGCTCATTGGCCAACTGAAGGTACCAGGAGATCACAAGGAGGGATAAGAGACGTGGGGTATTTTTTATTACTCTGACTTTCTTCTTCTATGATTATAGCTTTTAACAAGTTCTGCCAACTGCTCTCTCCCTTTGTCCCTTCAAGTCTAGGTCTGATAACAGCTTCCAGCTTTTGCCAGTACCTGGAAGCTTCATTATAATCTGTTGGCTCCCTTGATTCTATTTATACTTCTGCATATTAAATTCTATTATTAAATTCTCTTCAAATACCCTTTCTATTCTATCAGTTTCCTGTTGGGAAAATGACTGATATAGTTATGAGTTATTCTTGATATTTATATTTCATAAACAGCTCAAAATATCAACATATATAACCATATAATATGAATGCTCGTTTTTTATTTTACTTTATAAATATTTCTAGTTATCTGGGGACTTAAGTCCTTTTTAATATATATTTCCTGGTTTTTAAAAATAAGAACAAATTATTCTCCATCAAAATAAAATAAATCATGAATATAACACTATTTCAAGACTAATTCAAGTTGAGAGCAGTTATTTACTAGGATATACCTCCTGGAATAGAATAGACACTCACTAAGTATTTGTTGAAGGATAAATACATGCATAGATGCTATGTTGGCCATTTTTCTCTTTGCTCTTAGATCCATTTTCTGCCTTTTCCTCTTTGGATTTGTTTTCACGGGAAAGTAGATTATATAGATTCACTTGTAAATTGCTGCTGGTAAGTTACACTAGGAGGTATTGGAAGTCTCAAAGGTGGAAGGAAGGGAAGAGCCCATATCTTTTCTCCTCTCCTGGCTGTCCTCAGGGCTGTCTCCAGAGCAGCCATAATTTGCTATGGCTCCATAATTCTCTGTGGCTCGACTCTCAACACTTCACTTTCCTGCAGGTAGTCCTACTCGTGGATGGCACAGCTCTTGCCCAACGGCTCAGGCAGTAAGCTCTGAAATATACTTCATCTCATTTTCCCTCCAGCTTTAAGGGTTGTTAGCAATTTTCTGCTGTTGTTAATCGCTAGTTGCCTCACATTTCTGTTTGATTTCTCAGCTTTCCCATCCCCTGTGCTACTGATTCCCTAAATTAAGTTCCTTTCATTGAAAAGACGTATAGTGGCTTCTTTTTTCTTAATCACACCCTAACTAATACAGATGATTTGGTGGGTAAATAAAATAATAAGAAAAGGATAACAAAATAGCATAATATGTCTTCTGTTATCAATCCAGTACCTGATTAAATCCAGGGGCTGATGCTTGTACCACATTCCCCAGCGTGCCCAGCGCTCATATAATAGATGTCTGTTATTTTGAGGTCCATGGGTTTTGATGGGCTGGTTACTCTTGTAGGCTCCCTGAAACAAATAAAATAAGATGAATTGATATCTATTCTTTTAGTGAAATTTGAACTAATAGGAATTGTTTTTGCTTTTTTTCCTTAGGGAATAATTTAATAACTTACTGAAAGCTTCAGAAATTATAAATGTAAGCCATCACTGAAGTGATGCAGTAAATGCATTTATATATCTATATTTCATTGAAAATACTCTGATAGTTCCTTAAAAATTCTTTCTTAAATTCCTTTTTCAAACCAATGAGATCCCTTTCACTTAAAGTAAGCTTTAGGGTTCATTGTTTGGAACCCAAGGTCTTGTAATAAACACAATATCTTCATCATCATTGAGAGAAATTGTTGTAATCTTTAGTTCAGAAATTGATCATTATTCTGCTTTGAGAAGCGATCCAGTACCAGCAAATATTTATTTCATTTATAGAAGCTAAGGGAAGGAGTCAATGTTCATTCAGCAAATACAGACCCCCCCCAAAAAAAGAATCACTATGCTGTCCACATGAAACTGACATAATATTGTAAACCAACTATATTTCAATAAAAAATTTTTTAAGTATAAGAGGCCTGTCTCCAGTGTTATGCATGTTTTGAAATCTGTAAAATTTACTTCAGGTTAGATATTCCAAAAATGGAAGCATGTTTTCCAATTCTTTATATCCCCCTCAAAAATCTGTCATATGGGTTGCAATTTCAGAAACATAGAATATATATGCCTTTTAGAGGAACGTGTTCCCTGAAGGCTGAACTGCTCTGCTTTTATAATTTAAAAAAAAGTGATAATATAGTGACTTTATTTTCTGAATCAAAACCTAGGACACAGGATTTTAAAAAGTCCCTCTGCTCACTCTAATATGTGATTCTACTTTTATGAAATGTTTGATGAAAATTTAAATCAAGTGGAATTATGCCTCAGTTACCTCACCTAAATGATGAGGATAAGAATAAGTATTAATGATACCAATGCAGAGGGATCTTGTGAGGGCCCCTTTGGAGAATAGCTATAAAGTGCCAGCCACATAAGAAGTATAAAAATAACGTCAGTCGGGCTTCCCTGGTGGCGCAGTGGTTGAGAGTCCGCCTGCCGATGCAGGGGACACGGGTTCGTGCCCCTGAGGATCCCACATGCTGCGAAGCGGCTGGGCCCGTGAGCCATGGCTGCTGAGCCTGCGCGTCCGGAGTCCGTGCTCCGCAACGGGAGAGACCACAAGAGTGAGAGGCCCGCGTACCGCAAAAAAATAAAAATTAAAAAATAATGTCAGTTAATTTTAGGTGTTTGCTATATTGTGGCCATTGAGCAGTGCAAAACTATCATTTGGTTCCAGACAACCAGGGCTGTGAGTTCCTATGAAGAAAGATGGCACCTTGAATCATGGTCTGTAGGTGCCTCAAGGCTGAAATAAGAGACACATATGGACTTTGCCTCCGGCTTTCTAAGAAAATAGATAAATTAATTAGGTAAGGGTGGAAGAGCAGTCTTCCCTAAGTGAGCCCAAAGTGTTTAAAACCTAATGATTGGAAGCTAAGGAGATGAAAGTAAAGATCAAGATTCTAAGACATCCACTTGAGAAAAGTTTGTTTGCTTGTGAAAATGGACTGACTTGTTAAGGTAGCCTGCCCTGAGATTGGGAAGGTAAGGGAAGGTGAACCAAAATCTCAGGTTTCTTTCATGTATTCCTGATAATCCTAAAATACATGACTTTCCTTCCCAGCCTCAGTGGTCAGACATAGGCATTTCCTGGGTTTTAGGCGCTAAGCTTTAGATCCGCAGTACCTCATTGTTCTGACTTGGCTCAGTAACCTCAATCAACCATAATGCTCTGACTCTTGCCCACCCATGCATTCTCATCCCTTTTCAGAGAACTATGTACACTCAGTGATCCCCACCACCTCCATGATCGGCCCCTTCCTCCAAATGACACACTTTTCTACTGTCTCCACTATTCATAATTGATGGGATTATCAATTCCATCAATATTTTAGGCAAACTCTTTCTCATATATATACTCTCCTTCTTGCCTTTCTTCTTTGTCACGCCAAATTTCACTGGACATGTCTCTTTCTTCCCTCTAGCTACTGTCTCTTTTGTAAGTAAAAATTAAATCTCAGCTGTGGGTGAAAAGTGTGAGACCGATACTAATAATACTCCTGCATTAAGGAAGAAGGAGGTCTAAACTGTGACTGTCCTTATTCAAATTATAGTCAGTGCCACTGACTCCATTTTCCCTAAATAAGTCTTGTTTTTCTTTCTTCAAGTGTAGTCTTTAAAATTGATAGAAAATTCCTGAGTCCATTTTATTGACTTGCTGCTTTGTTTTCGTTACTTGTATTTCATCAATATTGTTTTCCAGTCGTTTTGTGTATGTATACCGTATACTAGTACTTCTACCAAATTATAAGAATAAATGGGAAAATGACCATTATTTACAACCTATCCCCAATAGTTTCCAAATTTTACACAAGAAACTGTCAAACTGTCAGAACACAGACTAGTTAGGTAAACAAAATTACTTAGAGAACAAAACAAACCTTCCTGTGCTACAGAAGCTCTCCCAGGGACTCAGGTTTGCCACTGAACAGTTTAACACTTACTGACTAGGTCATATTTGACATGGTGTTTAATTTCTCTGCACCTTGCTTCTGAATCTCTGCAATGGAAAAATAATAATATCTCCCCTCCAAAGTTATTGTCAGATGAGTGGGAAAATCCATGCACGGGACCTGTTGCACGAAACACTCTAACACATTATCTGTTACCATTATTTCTATTCCTAATATAAGTAGGTATGCCATAATGAATAGAAGCATTGGAGTCTGGCTTCCTGGGCTCAAAACTGTGCCTTTAATACTTAACCTTTCTCTGCCTCAATTATCTATCTACAAAACACAGTTAATATTATTGCCTATCTCAAAGGGTTGTTGCAAAGGTTAAATGAGATAGTCCATATGAACTGTTTAGCCCAGTACCAGACAGGAAGTGCTCAATACATTTTATCTTTATGAGTTATACTAGACTGTGAATTCCTCAGGTATAAGGGTTATGTCCTATGAGTTCTTAGCCTTTAAAAAAAGAAGACTTATGGGCTTTGAAAACACACACATTAAACCACTAAAGATCCTGTTCTTATTTTGAAATGTATAACTGCCTTAAAAAGAATATAGGAGTCAGCTGCTCCTTTAACCCCATCCTGTCTGAGCAAAGAACAGATGCCCTCCGGCGACCTACATGCAGAGGCAGGGCCAAATCCAAAGCTGAGCCCCGGGAGCTGTGAGAACAAAGAAGAGAAAGGGAAATCTCTCCCAGCAGCCTCAGGAGCAGCGGATTAAATCTCCACAATCAACTTGATATACCCTGCATCTGTGGAATACATGAAGAGACAACGAATCATCCCAAATTGAGGAGGTGGACTTTGAGAGCAAGACTTATTATTTTTTTCACCTTTTCCTCTTTTTGTGAGTGTGTATGTGTATGCTTCTGTGTGAGATTTTGTCTGTATAGCTTTGCTTTCACCATTTGTCCTAGGGTTCTATCCATCCGTCCTTTTTTTTTTTTTTACTGAAAAAAATTTTTTTTCTTAATAATTATTTTTTATTTTAATAACTTTATTTTATTTTATATTTTATTTTATTTTATTTTATCCTCTTTCTTTCTACTTTTTCTCCCTTTTATTCTGAGCCGTGTGGATGAAAGGCTCTTGGTGCTACAGCCAGGAGTCAGTGCTGTGCCTCTGAGGTGGGAGACACAACTTCAGGACACTGGTCCACAAGAGACCTCCCAGCTCCACATAATATCAAAAGGTGAAAATCTCCCAGAGATCTCCATCTCAACACCAGCGCCCAGCTTCACTCGACGACCAGCAAGCTACAGTGCTGGACACCCTATGCCAAACAACTAGCAAGACAGGAACACAAGCCCACCCATCAGCAGAGAGGCTGCCTAAAATCATAATAAGTCCACAGATACCCCAAAAAACACCACCAGACGTGGACCTGCCCACCAGAAAGACAAGATCCAGCCTCATCCACCAGAACATAGGCACTAGTCCCCTCCACCAGGAAACCTACACAACCTACTGAACCAACTTTAGCCACTGGGGACAGACACCAAAAACAATGGGAACTACGAACCTGCAGCCTGCAAAAAGGAGACACCAAACACAGTAAGATAAGCAAAATGAGAAGACAGAAAAACACACAGCAGATGAAGGAGCAAGATAAAAACCCACCAGACCTAACAAATGACGAGGAAATAGGCAGTCTATCTGAAAAAGAATTCAGAATAATGTTAGTAAAGATGATCCAAAATCTTGGAAATAAAATAGACAAAATGCAAGAAACATTTAACAAGAACCTAGAAGAACCAAAGATGAAACAAGCAATGATGAACAACACAATAAATGAAATTAAAAATAATCTAAATGGGATCAATAGCAGAATAACTGAGGCAGAAGAATGGATAAGTGACCTGGAAGATAAAATAGTGGAAATAACTACTGCAGAGCAGAATAAAGAAAAAAGAATGAAAAGAACTGAGGACAGTCTCAGAGACCTCTGGGACAACATTAAAAGCACCAACATTCGAATCATAGGGGTTCCAGAAGAAGAGAAAAAGAAAGGGACTGAAAAAATATTTGAAGAGATTATAGTTGAAAACTTCCTCCCTAATATGGGAAAGGAAATAGTTAATCAAGTCCAGGAAGCACAGAGAGTCCCATACAGGATAAATTCAAGGAGAAATACGCCAAGACACATATTAATCAAACTGTCAAAAACTAAATACAAAGAAAGCATATTAAAAGCAGCAAGGGAAAAACAACAAATAACACACAAGGGAATCCCCATAAGGTTAACAGCTGATCTCTCAGCAGAAACTCTACAAGCCAGAAGGGAGTGGCAGGACATACTGAAAGTGATGAAGGAGAAAAACCTGCAACCAAGATTACTCTACCCAGCAAGGATCTCATTCAGATTTGATGGAGAAATTAAAACCTTTACAGACAAGCAAAA